CTCCATGTTGGTTATACTGAATTGGAAGACAGTGTTGGGGGGCTGATAATGCAATGCGCATGCGCAACTAAGCATTTTAAGTGCAGTGTAACACCAAATAATTGCTTCGTCAGGGAATTGCTTCGTTGGATAAAGCAAGTGTGGACACAATTTTTTCGTCAACCTTCGTTACAAAAATGCTTCGTTAGACTCAACCCAGCAGTGTAACAGGTACCATTATTGTGTTAGGCTGAGTTCCACAATTCACATAGTCCGATGGATAGCAAAGAACATACTGGTAAGTAGATTACATGGTTACATCACATCATTTCATTATTTTAACCATATGAACTGGTTCCCGGAATAAGTAATTAGACCTTAGGCGCGTCTCTATTTTTGTATCTCGCAATCTTCACAGAATGGATTTACTTGTTACCTATAATAGCAAAACTTTTGTTTCAAAACTTTTGTTTTAATACTTTTGTTTCAAGTTCCGTCCACCATTTTAAAGACCTGATTTCGCCAACGAGATTTGGTCCATTTTTCGCGAGATTCTACGAGATTGCATTGAAATCCAAACAAATATTCATTGAAAACTGTGCTACAAAACATGTTATCTGTGCATATTATCAAAGTATTAACGGTCCCTTGTAACAGCAATAAGTAAGGTATAACACATTTGTTTCAATCTACTTTTGGAATAGTATTGCAACTTAAAACGAATATAATTGAAGGTCTAAACGATGAGTTATTTTTATTTGACAACACTGGAAAATTGTGGGAAAATTGAAAATTGTTCCATGATGAAGTTGAACCTAAATATTACTCCAACAACTTATATGCGTACGTTTATGTCTAGATCTTTATCATATAATATTCCAGATGGGAAAGAATACATTGATAGGTCAACTCAGCTCACAGGCCCAGGAAATTCCTATGTTAAACAGTGAGTGTGTGGGGGATTCAAATCTTCTTCCTGGGCCTGTGGGTCTTGTTGCTTGCAATTTTGTCATCACTCACATTTTATTATCATTACTGCCTTTCTAATTTCAGTCTTCTATGGTGTTCATATAGTCTACTGCAGTGTATGATGGTGTATGATGGAGCGAAACTGCGCAGTGGTTGGCTGCACAAACAGTGAAAGAACCTTAGAGTTATGGAAGAAAGGACAATGTCAAAAAGGACAATGTCAAAAACACAAAACGTACAATGGCACATATCCTTGTGACTGTCATCCCTTCAATTTGTTCCCTTTCCCGAGGAAGGGTAAAGCTGACAGCCTCAGAAATGAATGGGTTAGGCGATTAAATAGGAAGGACTAGACTCCAAATTAAGATAGCCGCATTTGCTCAAGTTGTTTTAAAAACCCTTCGGATAGTTACCCAAATCCCATTCTTAAAATGGGATATGATCTCAAAGAGAAAGAGTTGCGTCCTGCCCGACTACCTCCAAAACAAAAAGACACTTCATTGAGACCACCTCCCAAGAAAAAAAGCTGTCATATAGGAACTTAACCATCTCAAGCTGAACTACATGTAGACAATAGCCAAGAAACCATTGTCGAAACGCACACTATTTTGGACCATTCATATACCTCAATGCCAGATGACACTCCCAAAGATTAAGACAATGCATACGATGAGTGCCCCAATTCAGAAGACCACGGTAAAGACATTGAGTGTTCCTGCCACTTTAACTGCAGAATTAAAGTCGAATCTCTGTCTTCTCTTGTCAAGAAATTACGTGTGGAAATAACCAAACACAGGCTATCACATTTATCAAAAATTAACAATTTAAAGGTAAAAAAGAACAATTTGAGCCCTCCAGCCACACACGACTCTCAAGTGATATAAGGTACATTTGTATACAGGGCTCCCTGATTTAAATACCTGGTATCACAGGTAACAATGCATCAAGTTGGGTAAACAGAGTACAATGATCAGTTGAGCCAATAGGTTCACACACCTTGGAAAAGTTCAAAAGGCCAGGAGAATTGGTTATTGTCAAATCGATACAGCTAGATGATGTTGGAGTTATTCTTGTGGGTTCTTTAACAGTTTGGTCAAATCTATTTTGAAATAGAATATCATTTAGAAGTTTCCCGGTGTAATCTTCATCTCCCTGGAGGAACCAAGATTTGCTTTTTGCGTTAAAATCTCCATTTAGAATAATCCCATCGAAATTAATGTTGTTCAATTGTTGGAGTTTTTGATTCATTAAATTTAGATATTCATCTCTCTGATTGGCTGATTGCAAAGGGGAACGATAAAAGACCCCGTAAAGAAATTTTTTATGTTTTATTCTTAACTCAACCCACATTGCATCAAGGCCATCAATACTAAGATCGGGCCTAGGTGTCTGCAAAATGTTCTCGTGGGTGTAGATCATTAAACCGCGACCTTTGGGAGAGTAAAGGGGCGTGTGAAATCCCTTCAGCAAATATTTATCATGTATGATGTTATCTGTTAAAAGACCAGCTTCACATAGTCCTATAACATATTATTATTTCTACTCCAAATATCAAGGGCTTCAAATCTAGCGCCATTATCAGCCCTGAGGCTATTTACATTTGAGAAAACTATATCTAATTCATCAGGCCCGGGATTACTTTCAACATCATTGGACAAGATCAAAATCAGATCAGAAATATTAGGTTGACAGAAATGTATACTAAAACCTGGTATAAGTAGTGACAGGCATGTGGTCAGCAACAGAGCCAGAGTGTACCTTGGATTTAGCTAGTATTTATTTCTACTGTAGAGTCTCCATGAAACGGACACAAAACAAAACAAAAATTGACACAAGCATTGTACTCATATTTTACATATAACTAAAATAGATATTGTGCATGTTTTGATGTCAATGGGTTGCCTTAGGTTATATTGAGGATGATAAAGTGTATAGCATATACCCAGCAAGAGAGTACTGATTGTTATCAGGAGAATTAAAGTGAGCTTAGAAAATGATAAGTTCCTAAACTGGAGAAAATACAAATTGACGTCATTGGTTGTATTTGGAGAAGTTACCTTACATAATCTCACTCCGAACATACCTATCGCAGACCTCCATTGCATAATACTAACCCCCATGTGCAACCACAGCCCCAGGGATGACAGCAGCAGCACTCCACCAGCACACAATCATGGTTCTAACGTCAAGCTTCCATTTATCGTCGATTGTGATGCAAGTTCATGCGGAATCGGCGGAGTTTTATCTCAGATTCAAGATGGGGTCGAAAGACCTGTTGAATTTTATTCTGGCACTCTGAATCGCGCAGATAGACAATACTGCGTCACCAGGCGGGAACTTTTGGCGATCGTACGTACAGTGAAACATCATCATCACTTTTTGTATGTGAATGAATTCAAAATTCGCACGGACCATGGTGCCTTAGTTTGGCTCATGCGGTTTAGAGAGCCAGAGGGTCAGTTGGCTAGATGGTTGCAGGTTCTGGGTACATACAATTTTAGTATTCAATACAGGCCCGGATCTCAACATCGAAATGCGGATCCTTTGTCGCGTCGTCCCTGTGTAGAATGTAACCATTGCAATAGACAGGAAAATATGGGTCGCGTGCCTGTTGAAAACAAAACTGATATTTCTGCTACTGCAATAAATGTACCGTCTGAATCGAATGAAGTCCAACCAAAAGGTCAGCTAATTCTTACCATGGCCCCCTCAATTGTCAGTCAGAGTCATAAGTAAAGAAACTGAAAAGTTGAAATCAGATCTCAATCAATCATCACTGGCTGTAATTGGTTAGATTCTCTGACTATGGCTGATTATGATACAGCAATCAATCAAGATTCTCTTCTTGCTCCATTGAAAAAATGGATGGAAAGTGGTCATCGTCCACCCTGGGCCGAAATTGCTGATAAATCCCCTGAACTAAAGCGAATGTGGGCTCAATGGGATCGCTTGAGATTGGAAAATGGGATTATTCAGAGAAAGTGGCTCAGTGGAGATGAAGTAACTTGGCAAATTGTGGTACCCCAGTCCTTGATAAATTTTGTTCTCAAAGGTGCTCATAATGCTCGGGATTCTGGGCATTTTGGGGTGGGTAAAACCATTCACCGGGTTCGAAACATATTTTACTGGCTAGGATATAAGGGTGATATCACTAGATGGGTGGCACAATGTATAGAGTGTCAAAAGCGCAAATCTCCAGCTAAAAAACGCAAAGCTCCGATGAAGACGTACAATGTCGGTGCGCCCTTAGAAAGAGTGGCCTTAGATATTCTCGGTCCTTTGCCAGAAAGTATGTTGGGAAACAAATATGTCCTTATCATAGAAGACTATTTTTCGAAATTTTTGGAAATTGTTGCAATGCCAAATCAAGAAGCTAGTACCGTCGCTCCCGCCTTTCTCAATGAGTTGCCACTTCTTATACACTCCGATCAGGGGAAACAATTTCAGAGCCATCTATTTCAAGGACTTTGTGTCATGTTAGATTCCGTCAAGACGCAAGCTACTGCGTATCACCGTCAATCTGACGGCATGGTGAAACGATCCAATTGCACGATCGAGGCAATGCTCGCAAAAGTCGTCCGTTCTGACCATCGTGATTAGGATTTACATCTCCCATTCATCGGTTCAGCTTTTCGAAGTGCTAGGCATGAAACCACTGGGTATTCCCTAGCGTTTTTGATGTTTGGCCGCCACCCTCGTTTAGTGTCCGAGCTTGTTTTTGGACCCCCTCCAAATCACCCGTCCAATTCGAACCAAACATATACTCAATATTGTGAGAAACTTAGAGATCGTATTTTGACCACTTTTGAAAGCGCTCGGTCGAATATTAATGTCAGTTCTGAAACTCAAAAGAAATACTATGATGCCAAGGCCACGAAAGATCGTATTGCGGTGGGGGATGTAGTTTGGCTACACGTCCCTGTTACTAAGCTGGGTCATAGTCTTAAATTTTTGAACCCCTGGACTGGTCCATACAAAGTCCTTGAAAAACTATCAGATACCACCTTTCAACTGGTAGTAAATGACAAGCAAAAAATTGTACATGAAAATCGCTTGAAAAAATTTCAGGGCACTTTGCCAAAAGATGTCGCTTGTGATGAAAATACTAATCTGCCTGTTGAAAATGGTGACATAAATGAAGAACCTGTTCTTCAAGATAATTTAAAGTCCACATCAAAACTGTCTGGACGACAGAGAAGAAAGCCAGCTTGGTTGAATGATTATGATCTTGAGTAACTGACATATTCTAATTAATTTCAGATGTTTATATGCGATAGATACAGGCGGCACGGGCAGCGTTGTTGCGCTACATTTCCCAAAGAAGATCAACTGAAAGTTCATTGCGAGCTTTGTCATTCCTATATTTCCTGTGAGGTGCAAGGCTGCAAGATGCGTATACTGAAGTCTAATCCCGACAAAATACAACGTCATAAGGAGAATCATACCAAACAGACTCCAGCAGCAAGCCCTATTATCACCTATATTCCTCCCACTACCACATCTACAACATCTCTTTCTGCGGAATGTCTAACCAATACAGTATCTACTGCAGTAGCGCCCTTTGTCCCATTACAGCCTTGGACAAAGGACAATTTGCCAATTGATTGTCCACCTGACATCTTCGATGATGATTCTGACAGCACATTGGTGTACGATCCAATGCAATACCTCACCTTTGACAGTTTACCTGATTCGGTCATTAATAGCGAACCAAACAAATATACTGACGCTCTGAAAAGTGATTTATTCTTTAATAGTGGTAAAACTCAGTGTGTTGAGTCTGCCACAAAAAGTACCAAGAAGCCAAACACAGAGGAGAAACTGGATGCCTTGATTTCCAAGTACCAACACATTGTGGGCTTGGACAAGCCAATCGTTGAACATCTAAAAACAAGGACACAGCCGGTAAAACTACCAAGTAGTAAAACAGAATCCAAAGCAAAATTCAATAGAAAAGTGGTGATACCTAGAAAGGGCAAGCCTATCATTGAACATCCAAAACCAAGGGCTCAGTCGGTAAAACTACCAAGTAGTAAAACAGAATCCAAAGCGGCCATTTTTCAAAATGGCGGCCATTTTTCAAAATAGTGGCCATTTTTTAAAATGGCCACCTTCTACCAAAAGTGTCTTTAGACAGTGTGCAATGTTTATAGTATTCACATACCAAATATGAACAAAATCCCTCCACTACTTTTCGAGTTACAGCAAAAATCAGTAAAATAACGAGTAAAGGCCGCCATTTTTCAAGATGGCTGCCATGTGCTTCTTTAATATCTACATTTCTAGCTTTATTAATGTCCCATATAATTTTTTGACATCTAAAACATATTGCTATTACAGTTTTACATATGGCACCTAAATTAGTTTAAATTCGGCACTAAAATGGCAGCCATTTTGAAATGAGTGGCCATTTTGAAAATCGGCTTTCGAGCAGAACTTCTACTTCCATGGGGTATATGTGTACAAAGTATGAACAAAATCGGGCCAACGGTATGAGTTATTGCCCGGACAGACGGACGGACGTACGTACGGCCGGACGGATGGACGGACGGACGGACAGACGGACGGACAGACGGACGGAGGCGTTCCCTATATTCCTCCGAACTTCGTTCGATGGGATAATAATCAACTGCATGGAGTCTGACATTTGAGCTATTTGCCCAGATTGGGGTTTGTTCTGTAACAGGAGATTGCACTAACATTTTGCATCTTTTATTACAGTTGTATATATTATATCGATATCGATACCATAAAAAAGAATCTCATTACTGAAGGACCGATATTTGACATATTTTGATACTTTGCGGATTTTTATAGATTTCATTTCACTACATGTTGGAATCACATTACCACATGTTAAGTGATATTGCTCAATTTTAGTGTCTAGAATATTAGTTTGCTGTGTATTTGGATAACTGCCATCTAGGTTTTGTACACATACAGTCAGCTGGTTGGTTGTCCAGGGTCGATACTTGCAAACCTAATATTTTCGATACTTTATTTTCATTTGTATCCGCTGTGTGTACATATTCAGTAGTTCTAGTCACCCTGGAGTAGTCAGTGTACATAAAATTTTGTGTTATTTTTCTTGCCAAGACTCCGTCAAATCGCAGAGCCAAATGCTTAAACACCAAATAATGGTGATATAATTGTGATCAGTGTAAATACTTGTGATTTTTACCAATTAAACTTGGCTGGTGCTGTGATTGAGATTCCAGTCTTTATATTTTTGTAGTCACCTTAGAACCAGATTCTGCGTGAAACTGGTAAAAGTAGTTTTTCATTTTTATTGCTGAGTGACACTTTCAAGTCACTTCAAAGTGACATGACAGTGTAAGAGAATTGTCATTTCATTTCATAGAAAGATTCAAAGTCAATTTTATAAGTTAAAGAGAGATTGCTCAAGTTATGCTTCTATAGCATTCCTCATTGATACAGTATTTTCTGTATTATTCAGTATTTCACATAACTTGATCACTGTCAGTATTAGTCAATCATAGCACAGCCATAACAAAGAGATATTGACTAGTCTTAACATGCATAATGTATCCCAAGTAACAATCGGGTAAAATAGTTTGATATTTTTGTACTTTAAAGCAATAAACCTTTTTATACATTTTGATATACAGAACTTTACATGCTTGTTTTATGTGCAATTATTTGGGTAATTGAGAGATGGTAGCAGATTCCTGACATTTTATGTCACTTCAGTGACATACTGTGCTGCCATCTTTCTTTGATTTGGCCACTTTTATATATCCAAGTACAATAGTAACTTGAAGTTGCAATTCGAACTCAATCTATTTAATCAAATGTAATCAGACTTATTTACGCCCATATATATTATCCATAAAATCATAGCAAGGTCATTACAGTGAGAATGGGGTCCAACAGGTGAAGCAATCAAAATCTGAGGCCCAGGAATACGTTAAAAATGTTTAAGCTCAGGGTGCATGATGGGAAATTTTCTGCATTCCTCAATTGAGTCACATGTTATTTTTCAAACAAGAATCACTCCTTCCCTTCATTGTCTAATATCTTCCAGTTTTGCCCAAAGAGTGCACTTATGTGCCTAGAAAAGACTTGTGAGAAGAATGTTTTGATAAAGTGTATAAAAAACAAGAAAATTCAGTGAAAAAAATCAGAAGATTTTCAGAAATTTTTTTCACTGAATTTTCTCATTTTTTATACATTTTACAAAACAAACCTTCTCACAAGGCTTTTCTAGGCACAGAAGTGCACTCTTTGTGCAAACTTGGAAGATTTAGACAATATGGGGAAGGAGTTATTCATGTTTGAAAAATAACATGTGACTCAATTGAGGAATGCAGAAAATTTCCCAACATGCACCCTGTCCTTAAAAAGTCCCCTAGTGTACTGAGTTGGTAATGCGTGGTGTATACATGTTACTTACTATACTATATTATTACTTACATTGAATAAGAATAGTCCCTGGGAGAATAGTACTGATTTTTTATTAATGATTGTATACCCATATCGAGATTTTAGCGTCATTTTACCACGTGCTTTTAAACCTATTGTTATTGTCACGTGATTCCGCTGATCCAATAGCGTTACAGTAATCGAGTACTAAAACGTCCGCGCGAGGTTTTATAAGTCGCGCCAAATCTTGTTTACAGTGTAAACCAGATCATGAAAACAAGAGGAGTGCGAGTAGATTTCCTGTCTTATTTTCAAAACAAAGCGGATCTTAGGCCCAGTAAAATTAAATTATTATCCTACTCTGATGAGTACGATGTAGATCGTATCATAACAAAGGTAAGTTATGTCACGTTTCTTTGATGAATGGTACATTTCATTCAGATTTATGAGATTGAAATCAAACACAGAATTGGACTTGAAGTTGAAATGATGCAGAAATCATTCAAATCATAATTTGACAGTTGATAAAATAGAATTAGATTTAGCCGCATACAGTTTGGACGATAAATAAATGATAAACAATGGATGGTGGTTTGAAAGTCTATAGTTTGCAATCGTCTACGTCTGGCTATCCACTAAAATTTGTATATTTTACATTTTGTATACTCTCATCTAGGCTATTGATGTATGGTTGGCCTCTTCAGTGAAAATTCCCAATTATTTTTAACATGTGAAATCCTTACTTCAGCAAATCCACAATTTATTATTTATCGTTCGAACTATACTAGATTCTATATAGGTAGATTGGCGCCCCAGGAATCTGTGCATTGTTCATTTAGCTTAGCATTCATCAATGAAATCGTGTAGCCCACCTTTGACAAATAGTCTGGTTTTCCTTTTTCAGTCAACTAGTAAAGGTTATCTAGTAAAGTGGAAGGGATTCAGCCTTTAAGATAGTACGTGGGAGCCCTTAAACAGCAGATGCTCCAGCACATTTGAATACATATACAGGTATACATTCGACCTCCATATGATTTTACATAAACATTGTCAAAGCCCATTATGAGACTTTTTAACAGTTTCAATTCAGTCTGAATTAATATTTTTCTGCAAAGTTTTGGCGAGCCAGTTGCCTCGCACACATAGGCCTATTGCATAGCCATTAGCCACTGTCATAGAGTCAAGTTGTTTGTCCAGTGCCCGTCCAGTGGCATCAAATCAGACTTGAAATTGTTTGGAAGCAATATTTTCAAAAAGCAACTTTGTTAATGTTTGTAATGATCCAAATGAATTAGGCCTTCAGTTGAGATGTCTAATTGAAAACTTTAATGAATTAATAATTGATTAATTAAGTGCCTACCAAAGAAAACAGCCTCAGATAGCTAAATTTTTTTTAATGTCAGGTGATTGGTACACTTCTCCGAGCGTTGATCGAAGATATACATGTCAAAGTTTACTCTATCGATATGTGAACCTTACGTTCGATATGTTTCAGATACCCAGTTGTAAACAACGAACTTATCCAATCAAACACAGACAACCTACTTTTTGTTATAAGGGAGAGGCTTGGCAAAAGGACGGGGAGGTGTGGCCTTGTGGCATTTCGACTCGATGTGTTTCGTCATTTGTTTGGACGTAAGTAAAGATCAAAATATAGAAGTGTACGGATACAATATACTGTAAACTCAGAAACGAAACATACAGTATTGGGAATAGCTAATTGGGAATCAACTCAATTCTTTTATAATTTAGAACTAGACGGCTGTAATTAATAATACTGACCACCCAGATAATTACATATATTCTTTGTACAATATTCATATTAATTGTATAATGCAACATACTAGTATATCTCATCGTGTTCGTCACATTATTCAGTACATTGGACAGTCCCTGGCCATGAATTCATCCAGGACATAAGTACCCTTCTTAAATGAATTTTATTCTTCGAAACCCTTGCCTATTTTTGAATAGTTTGGCAATCATAGGCATTACATTTATGGATCATCAGCTTAATAAAAAAGTATACAGTCAGTTTGCCCAATACAACTGAGGGCCGCACAACCTATAAGATATTGAACTCTGTCTTGACATTACCTACAGTATGTCAAATTGATCTCTATGTTAACATCATCAATATGGCATTGATCTTTGTGTTAACATCATATATATAACAATGGATCTCCATGTTAACATCATATTCACCTATCTATATAACATACTAAAGTGTAATGTATATTAAATACAATTTTGTTTTAATTCCAGTGGAGAAAACCAGGCTGTTCAGCAGAGAGGATTTTGAACATTTGAACTTTCCAGATTGCTGGAACCAGTTTAAAGGTGAACGGTCCGGACGCAAGATTAGCTTTCCAATGAGAATGACTTTAAAAGTGAAATTTTGTAAGGGACATCCTATGCCATATGAAGCAATTGACATTGAATTTGTCACAGAAAGATTTTCTACTATCTAGTTTACAAGTTTATCAGTAGAGAATTATGAATCCAGCATAGTTGTCATTATTATCTCAAACTCAAACGCTAATTTTAATTATGGTCACAGTTGAGGTTATACATGGCAAGGGCCAGTCAAGTTTTCTTCTAACAAACTTTGAGCTGTGCCAAATAAAAATGGAAGAAGATTCAAACGAAAAACTCAATATGATTGACATAATAAATAATAATCTCCCAAAATCATGCTTTAAAATCAACCCCATGTT